AGGCTTAGCTGCAGTTATTAGGGAGGAAAGGAAGAAAGGGGGGTGAAATAAGGAAAAGGAAGGACAGAAAGAAAGCTCAAAAAACTGCTGACATTCCTTCTTTTCTCTCACTCTCCTCTTTTATCCCCCTTCTTCCCCTGTGTCCTTTTCCTCCCATCCTAAACCTCATCCATATGTCTTCAGCAGGCCTGGAGGACCCTTAATGAAATATAGACTGGATAAATAATCAGATCTGCCCACAATTACACTGAAAAAGTCCCAAAATACACAAATTCCCACCTACACATGCTCACACACATATCTTTGTTTTCCCATCGCTGGACATATGATTAGGTTACAGGCAGACATGCAAGTGCCAACACGTGCACACTCTCATGCACTCGATATACACTCATTCTAACACTTTCTCAGATGACTGCATCACTGTCAGCACCTACTCTAATTCAGCACTCAGATGTTGAAAGTAAATGTCATTTGTTTGTAGTAGGAAAATATTTCCACTTATTTTTTCCCTTTTTTTTAATACAACTGAATTGTATTTTACAGTTTTTATTGAGATTATAAACAGTAGACATCTGTGCACTATTTCATTAAATCATGTTATATGAAAAGACTGATATGTCCGAGCCGGCAGAATGAGAGGATGAGATGCGCCAGTGTCTGCAGAGTGTGTGAACGTGTTTTCATGGTGTGAAGTGATGACTGTGTTGAAAGCTCTGCATATTGTATGAAGATCGGTCCACTTTTAGCCAAGTGGGGGCGTGAAAAATAGCCAAGCCTGCTACTTAACACTAATGGACTCATCCATTACAATCTTGTGAAAACACAGTGTAAGTGTCTAACATTAGCATTGGTGTGTGTTTGTGTGTCCAGAAAGTGACTGTCAAAATGATGGACGAATGTTTTCATATGTGTGTGCATGCCTGTACACCTGTATTGTGCGTGTGAGTATGATCACAATTATTCCATTGTTTCCCCTGTTAATAAACCAGACAAAGTACAGGCGGTCACATTAGCACAACAGCAATTCAGAATCCTGCTGCAAACGTATATAACAGAACATTGCTTTAAAAAATATATACATAGTGCAGAAATATTGAATACAAGTTAAATAAATAAAATAAAACCAGTTAGACTGAATTTATAATCCAAAAGAAAAAGATAAACCTCTCCAGCCTCTGTGAAACACTAACAATCTGACTCCTTCTGCTTGAATTTTCCAGAATTCAGAGTATAATTCGCAAAGGCACACACACAGACCACAAATGAGCACAATGCCAAAGTGTCTCAGCCACAAACCTGCACACATGTGAGATCAGAGAGCAAACTGGGTGTGGTGTACAAAGCAGGCCACATTTGCATTTTGTCTCGTCTCTTCCTCGAGCCCGCACGAACCAACAATCTCCTGTAATCATCTCCAGAAAGTTTGGTTTGTGACTGACACAGCAGATGAGAAAGATTTCAGAAGCATTGGAGCGTTTGTGTCTTAGAAACACATCAGAACCAACAGGCAATAACATGTTCAGTGCAACAACTCTCAGTAAACCCTCACTAGCATTGTAGTGACTTCATCTTTGTGAGTTAAAACTGGCAGGTTCTCATACAACCAGCATGCAACTGTCAAAAGTATGACTGTCTGACTTGAAGGATACACATTTTAGTCGACTAGAAAATGTTCAAACAGCCACTGCACAGCACAACACTCATGTTTTCTTTTCTTGAAATACCCTTACATGACAGCCACCCCCCCTGAGGACCAGAGACTGTATTTAAACTTGGACGACCAATCCACACTTCCTCCAACTATCCAACTAACCTCCATCTTGTGCATTTGGGGGATGGAGCTGCAGTATCGAGGTCCCGTCGATAAATGTGCTCAAACAATCACAAGTGCGTCTCAGCTGTCAATCACAAAGTTTTTATAGCATTAAATAACCTTTCAGAAAAATGTATTTAATGAGTATTCAGTCTTTAATTTTGTCCATGTCCCTTCCACTAACATGGAGTTGGGATTTGTTAGCTGTGCACCACCAGGTGGCGATTGTGACACTCTCTCACACTCATCATCCATCTTTACATAAAGTTTATGCTGAGGACAGTGACTTGGCATCCATTACAGAATAGTAATAGTAATGAGAGCTGTATCAGAAAATGTAAATCAACCTGTATCTGGTGGATTCTTTCAACAAATTGTAGAAAGTGTTTGGAAAAAAATCATTTTAAAAAGAGTATTGCATTTTTGTAACAAATATTTCCACACTTGAAACACACGAACATTTTTAAAACAAAGCATTGGAATTTGCAGATCAAATGTGACCCAACTTAAAAGATAGTGTTGGAAACAAATTCCAACACTCAGCAAGTGCTGAGTGTTTCCCTGTGGAGCTTCTCTGACATGAGTTGACAGTAAGCTGACAACTGCATGCTGGCTGAAATCCAATACCTGTTACATGTGTTTATGGGCGTGCCAGAAGAATGAATTCTTAATTATTCGGGGTAAATGAAGGTCGATACAGATTCAGAAAGAAAAACAGAAAAGGGTTGTGGAAGGAAGAAGAAGAACTGACCTTTGAGACAAGAGGAGATAATGATATCAAGCTGCCCACCACAATTTCATTTGCTTTCATGTCAGTTGAATGATGCTGTATCAAATGCATTTAAACACACAGTTTAATGAGGAAAATAAACTTGATTAAAATACTCCCTTTCAGATCTTTTGCTCTCTTGCTCCTATGTGTGATCACTGTTCATGCCTGACTGTTGTGTGGTACCTTTGCCTCCCCCCCTGGCCTGGGTCAGCCCTCAGAAGTACAGCCCTGTTTTGTCTGAGCCTGTGACCTCTCACCTTCAGTCTGGGGTCGTGGCCATCAGGAGCAGCGGCAGACGAACACCAGTGTGGTTGTAAGCTGCTTCAAAAAACCCAGAATCCCAGTGGTAGAGCTGTTTCTTTTTCATTCATTAGTCTTTCCCAAAGGGCGGTGTGGGACCTCAAGGGGCTTCACGGGGTCAGGAGGGTCCCTGTCAAAATAAAGAATAGTATATTATCACTGTTAGTTTGTTAATGAGAAGGTAACAGAGCCAGACTACTACAACAACTTTTCTTAGAGGAATATTAATCTGTGGACTCTGTCGCCATCTGATGGCCGAACAGTGCAAACAAGATGATTGAAGTTATAAGAAATCATGGAGCTTGTAGAAACAGGGAAAGAAAAACTAAGTACGATGTTATATTAACATTTTGTGACCTTGATGATATCCAATGCATAAGACCCAGAATAAAGTGGAACCAGGGACTGCTGTACTAAAATACAGATTTAATATACAATGCATGAAATAATAGGCTTATCTCTCTTCAACAAGATGGCTGCAATGAGGTTAGGTGACAGAGCACAACAAACACAAAAACGTAGTTGTGAATTAAATAAACAAACCCCCAAAATGAAACAGTGTGGGGTAAGACTGCACTATCAGGAAGGCGTAGGTAAAAAAGATGAAATGGTCACAAATTATGAATAAACCACCACTACTCATAAAACAATTCAAAACGGTTCTGCAACACTGATGGTTGTTCATATGCACAGCAAGCTATGGTGACTTAAACCTCACACTAGAACACACAAGATGGCTTCTCTACAACTCAGACTTAAACACAGCAGAAAGACCCTCATGAAAATAAAACAGAAAAAAAGACCATTTCATAGATGAGTTAAAGTCACAGTAGAATTTAATAAGTATAGAAAAACTAAAGACACAGAAGCAAATTAATTAACAAAAACACTTTTAATTCAAAAACATTTGTAATGTTAAAAATAAATATACCTTGCAGAATTGGGACAGTCCTTTTTGGAGACATGGAATCTACATTTATAAATATTCATGTTAATATGACATTAAAAGGAGGACTTTTAGTATATACATATATATATATGTATATGTAAAACAGGCAGTGTGATTAAAATGACACCATGGCTTTGGTGTGTGAAGCTTTGATTTGAATAAATTAATGAATGATGTTTGTGATGCCAATATATAAGTTATGAACATATTAATATGGTGTCTGTCTTTATGATACGATGGCGGGGCCAAAAGGGAAAGTCGAAACAAAATTGGGAGAGGGTTGTGATGTGAAGGTGCTTGTGTTACTTGGTTTGTGACTGTGCCATAGACTGTATATAAAGACTGTGCTCATGTTACTAGGGGCAACATGTAACACGTAAAATAGGGACAACATTTTATTCAACTTTATTTTAAATTAACTTTTCTTCAGTCATGGGCCTCAGGCGGTTTCCTTTTTTTTAAGATGGTGTCGCCTGCTTTAGAAAATACCTTTTCACGGGGCACAGATGAAGCTGGGGTGCAGACAGGGGGAAATCTCCTCTTTCGTTCTGGTTCCATCGCAGAAAGAAGCTCGAACAGATTGCAAACCAACGCGCAGTAAAGTCTGAGGTCCACAAAATGTGTGTGTGTGTGGGGGGGGTTCATTGCCTTTCGCCCATAGACTGAAAATATAGATAAAGATAAAGGATTCGCTGATAAAGGATATTTCGAATCGCACGCCAAACCCGCGAACCAGTTCCTGATTCAGTCACGTGGTACGGCCGCCTCGCGAGGCTTCGAACGTCACCACATACGTCATCAACACAAGCCTCAATACTAGGGCTGGGCGATACTAGGAATTTTGGTATCGGCGATCCGCTACCAAGTAAATACAGTGCTAGTATCGCCGATACCGATACCTTCTACTTGAAAAGTCCTGATTAATGATGTCAACAACACAACAATAATACTAACAGTAATAGAGCAACAAAGTCAGTTGTGCAAAATAAGTAAACAAAAGCAACAATGTAATGACAAACATGAACAGGGTCCACACTGCGCCTCTCTCTCCACCATCACAGGCTGCTCTCTCACTCAGTGCTCCGACTCTCCGCTCTCCCGCAGAGCAGGGGGGGCAAGTGTTTCTGAGAGAGAGAGAGAGAGAGAGAGAGGTGAGTTGTTGCACAGACAGACTTGGAGAGAAGCTCATGCTCTCTCGCATGAACTCTGGAGGAATTTCGAGGAATTTGCTGGATGTATAGGTGGGAAACCGTTCAGATCGATACGCCCAGCCCTACTCGACACGCACAGCAAAATCTTGCTGGATTATTTAGTCGACACACGCTTCAGAGCCTCGACACGTAATGACGCATCAGTAGTGATGACTCCTCTGTACACGTGTAGTAAGTGCATCACTACACCATCACTACCAGAGCGTGTCTCATTCATTAATGACGTAGCATTGATATTGCGACACCTTCCTCTGAGTACATGTTTTCTAAGCTAATCTAACTGCTTGCTAGGTGGCTAACATCAACTCACGTTACAGCCTCGGATAAGATCACAGAGTGGATTGAAAACCTTTATTTACAACATTGTTTTAGCACTGCACTATAAAGTGTTTATATTCTATTCTTTGTTTTCCAGCCTAATTAAATGTTAATTAACCTGTCTGAAATAATATGTAAAATATAAATAAGTATTGTAAACACAGTTACAAGGTGCTTTATGCGTTCGAAATGTAAAATTGAGGGCAAACTATAGGACACAGGTGAAAATCAAACAATTTAAAAGTAAGATGAGCAAAGATAAAGCAGATTAAATACAATGTAATGAACTGAAAATAGTTGGTAAAATGAAATATTTTCAGGCACTGACAGAAAAAACCTTGTCTCCTCAGGACTGTGGATGAATGGTGAGTAGTGCCTTCCCTGAGGACCTCAGGTAGAGACGCGGCACATATTGTGTTAAAAGATCTCAAATGTACTTAGGTTCAAATCCAGAATGGAACCTTTAAAGTCAGCAATACAATCTTAAAATCAATTCTACAATTTACTGGAAGCCAATGAATAAAAGGTAAAATCGCTGTAATGTGCTCATTTAGTAGATATTGATGTGGTTATAAAAGTCGTGATACTGGATTTACTTTAATGCAGACTCTCACATGCAAAGCAGTGTTGCTGTTTCAGACCTATGTCTCTTTCACAGACCGACAGTGAATGTGGATCTCCCCTGCACATCGACGGGCCAAGCAAGGAAAACAGCACAGAGAAAAACATTGAAGTAAATCAGATCTACAGAGGCCGCTGCTCGGTTGATTGACCGTTGGGCTTTGTGTGCCAGCATCAGAGGGGACAGCCAACACCTCCACCGACAGCATGAGTGACTTAACAGACTTTGTCAGGGGCCAAATTGTTGGTGCCCAGCTGGCAGGTCTGTCTGTGAGTGAAACTGCACAGCTCTGTGACGTGTCAGGAAGAACTGTCCTCAAAGTCATGAGTGTCTACAATATGCACGGACATACTGCATCAGCAAAGAAGAACAGCAAGCGCAAGCCTAAAAGGAAAGCTGGAGTTGATAGAGGAGCTCCCATCAGGAAACCAACGTCTGACTCGAAGATGGACTCACAGAACCCTGAGGACGAGACTGAGACACCTGAATCCCAGAACAAAGACAAGGAATAATGTGACTGGGTTTCAGACTTTCAGGTATATTTAGACTGGTTGACGTTTGCATTAAGCCACAGCATGCCTTGATTTAAAACACAATTTTTGCTTACTTTATACATAAGTTATTTGTTTATTTCTATTGTAAGGCTTGAATATTAGCCTGTTCTGTCAGCCTCAGTACCTTTCCAGGCTTTGTCCAAGTGTCTGTGATTGTGTTTTAATACTGTGCAATAATTTCAATAATAGATAAAAACGTGTTCTCCTATCTGCCTGTCTCTTCTGTCCTTCTATTACTGCTCTGGCCTGAGGATGCACTTTTTGTCATGACCATTAGATGTGACGGCAGATAAAGAATGGTGACTTTTGATTGTCACAGAGACACCCTCCAGAGTTGTAGTTTCCTCATTTTCCATTGGTCTCCCTTAGAGATGAATCAATAATAAATAATCGATAATGGTCAAATAAAACAAGGTTCCCCACAATAGAGCCGGGGGCCAAGCTAATGCCAGTTAGTCTCAGGTTGGTGATTCATTTATAATTAAAATATTTCTTTAAATGTTTTTATGGCAAAATTGTTGTTTTGTGTTTTTCATGTAGGCCTATAAGCTACTATGTAACCTTCAAAAGTAAAGAAGTTTGCATAAGTCTAATGCAATTTTTCCTGCTCATATGCAAAATAAATCAAAAAATGTAGTGGAGCAGATGACACAAAACTTTTATTCTGAAGGTGTAATACCGGATGTGTCGGTTGTCATTCTTCCTGTAGAAACAAACTTAGGTCGGTGATAAACAGCAGCAGTGGACAGACCATAGACACTGATCCTCTGTTCTGATCGTCACACAACATGTGAGTTTAATGTGTCAGTACGTAGCTTTAACATGATAACACACTTGTTGTCGACGGGAGCTAATATATTAGCTTGTAGCCTGGCTAGCTTAAATAATAGCATCGAAAACGCTGCTGCTCTCGAGCTGAGCACATAAACATCATCCCTGTCGTTAGTTAGCTTATAAATGAGTGTGTGCTAAAAAGCTTTGTGCTTTACTATATAATTCATTACTATATATGTAGTACATGCTGGCTGTTGAATGAGTTGATACTTAATTCCGTGTTTTAAACATTTATAAAAATAATTATGTTTACTGTTATTATTGTTTATTTTTATATGAATTACTATTGTTAGTATTATTATTATATACTGTATTAAACATTGTTATTATTTGCTATATCTTATTATCCCATTTTCATCTTTTTATGGATCAGTGATGACACCGTCCACCTCAGCCCCTAATCTATGGATCTCCTCAAACCCTGGATCTAACTGTTCAAAATAACGGAAACAACACATGACAGAGGACTTTGATGAATTCAAGCAGCAGCTGCAGAGCCTGCAGCCTGTCTGTCCTTTGACTTAGCCTGTTGCTTCCATGAAATACACTCAACACTTTCACAGGGGTGTTCAAAGAAACATGAGTGACTTAACAGAGTTTGAAAGGTGCCAAATAGTTGCTGCAAGACTTTCCGGCGCATCTGTCACAAAAACTGCACAGCTGTTCAATGTGGCGCGGGGAACGGTCTCCAGAGTCATGACAGTGTACGTCAAACATGGACGAACAACATCGGCAAAGAAGAACAGCGGGCGCAAGTCAAAGCTCACAGAAAAGGACAGACAAACGCTTCTCAGGATAGTGGATGAACACCCTGATTATACGGCCTCAAAAATAACTTCAGAGTTGAACACACACCTCTCTCATGCCGTCTCAGTGAAAACTATAAGGCGTGAGCTTCACAAAGCTGGTATTTTTAGAGGAGCAACCAATCGGAGGCCAGAGACTGATGCACAGAATCCAGATGGAAACAACACTAAACCTGAAATTGAAAAAGATTGTGACACACAGAAACCGAATGAAGAGAGGACAAGACCTGAAATGCAACCAAATGTCAAAGAGTGTGGCGTACAGGAGCCTGTGGGACAGGTACAGACAATATCTGAACCCCAGGCTGGTGTTGAAGAGTACAACAGGAAAATCAGGAAAGAGGATACAATCTGAAACCCAGGAGTACAGCGCACAAAAGCCTGGTGAAGGGAGCACATGACCTAAACCCCACATCAGTGAATAAGATCACAACTCTCTTAAGTATGATTGAGAGGACAGAGGACCTGAGCCTCAGACCAATGAAAAGGACTAACACAATCTGATGTGTTGTATTTCAGCCTTTCTAATACATGTAGCATCTTGTTAAGGGAAGACCACAGAATGCCAGTGTCACCAACTATCAATCATGCTCATGGCTGTTTAAGAACATGTCAGATTGTAAATTATTTTATTTATTTTTGAATGAATGCATCATAGTGCAATACTAGGGCTTTTTATAGGCCCCGTGAGCCGGCCTTACCCAAGACTGATTCAGGAACTGGTTCGCTGGTTTGGCATACAGAATGTCCTGTCAATGAAAAATGGGATAATGCAGATATGGCACTTTGTCTACGTGTATGAAATGTAAAATATCATAAATTGAGGCATTTGACAAATTTACCTGCATGCACAGAATGCACTCTTTGCTTCCGATGCACAGAATGATAACTGATGACCCCACCATAATATGTTGAATCAGAAATCCCTACATCCATACCTAGCTACCTATGGTCTGCTGCATGTACCGTTTGTAGGACCTGTAGTAGAGAGGAGAGTGGGACACAAAGCGCGGGTTATCAATGATTGTTATGCATATTTAAAAACATTACACCAGAAAAGTTTAAAGGTTGTCGGTACTTTGTTTTGTTTAAGTGGAGATATGCTCTGTTCTCTCTGGACAGGTTGAATGTGGCTTTAGCAGTGAGTGAGAGTCCTAGAAAAGTTTCACCATGTGTTTTTCTTCTATGTGCATTATTCAGAGTAGACTACTTTATACTGCTACGCCACACACAGCAAATGAATAAATAATTGGTCATTGTTGCCAAACACCCAGTGCAGTCATTCTCAAGAATATGTCTTTCAAAGTGTGAATACTTACATGTAGCTTTGATTGATTGGAGTCTAACTTTAACACAACATGGTGTTAATGAACTGCAGTTCATTAACACCATGTTGTGTTCCTGTTGAAAAGATTATTTGTGAGTCTGTTAGCAATCCAGAAAACAAAACACGACAGACAACATTCTATAAATGGCTCTGTTGTGAATGGAGGAACAGACAGACTTCTTCCATCACATATGTGATTGTGGTCTTAATAATGTTTCTAAGTCAATGGTTTATTTAAAAGAAGGTAGACGGTATATAAGAAACCCCCTCAATATAACACATTGCAGTTCAATGCTTCTACAGCCTCCAGAAATACCAAAAGGTTGAATGAACGTCTGTGTAAAACTGCTAACAAAATGCTACTGTATATAAATGATTACAAGATAGACTAAAACAATTTGAGTTGGGTGTATTCAAAATAATGAAATAATTGTGGGGGATATAGTAGTTTTATCACATAATACATTAATTACAGACTCTTAAGCAAATCACATTTCTTCTCTTCGTTTTTAATCAGCAAGAGAAGAAACTACACATATACAGGGAGAGAAAAAGACAAAATACATAATGTAATGGGTTTTAATAACCTTTTTGTTGTTTATATATATATATATCGATATATATATATAGATAATGAGAATAACATCTTTGAATTTATATTTGTGGATAAAAAATGCACTATATGGATTCATTTCATCTTCCTATATCTCCTGCGCATGCGCTCGAAGTAATGACGCAACGGTGGTGTACCCGGAAGTAGAGTTGCAATTGTAAACACAGCCGTGAAAGCCGTGTTGCTCCTCTTTACAAGATGGTGTACGTGTCCAACGGTGAGAGGTTTATCCTGTTTTCAACTGTTTTCTCTCCGTAATTACTAGTTTGTTGATTCCTCATATATATTCGAACAGTTTCTGTGAAAACAAACGACTCCGACAGGAAGTTATGGAAACAGAGCGATGTTATTTAGCAAAGTAGCCTGTTAGCTAGGCTAGCCGAGCTGGATCTGCGTAGATTTCTATGAGCGGATATTCATAGTGTTTCCTCTAGAGATGATTTCACTGTCAAGTGCCTGAGTTTTTTCGCTGGGCTGTGTTGAACATGAGGTTGTGTTAACTTGGTGTATTTTGTGCTGTCTGTCTCATTTTTAAGCCCAGATTAGCTGTTAGCCTCTGTCTCTTGGGTGCTAGTGAGGGAGTACAATAGGTTGATTTGTAAACTAGAAGGGTCGTGCGTTTGGTTTTACGTAATAACAAACTGTCCCTCTCTCAGGCCAGGTCCTGGACAGCAGGCTCCAGTCACCGTGGAGACTCTCTCTACTGGTCGATCTCTTCTGGGGAGCAGTAGATTTTATCGGCCTGTTGTAAGTCAGTCACACAAACACTGGACTAACTGAACCAAAAAGTGATGTTTAAACCAATGTGATCTACACGGAATCAAGTGTTAGAACGTAACAAGCATACACACAATGCAATAAGTGCTTCTGATTTGTTTAATTTAGCAGTCTCATGAAGATTTCCATCTCTTTTTTAAGAGACACGTGACACTCACAACCAGCAAATATTATAAGATTCTTGAAAAACATCAGATAGCATAGATTAGATGTCAAGGGGAATGTAAGACTACAGGTGTTGGACAATGCAGCTGGTTCCTTTTAAAAAGTGCTTAAAACCTCTCTGTTCTTTTCTGCCAACATTAGTGTGAGCGAAGGCATATGTAATGAGGTAAATAGTTTTTTCTGATGCTGTAACTGAACACAACAGTGTTAATACTGTGGAATACTGAGATTTACTAGACTTTCTATAAAGTCACATTGGTAGCTCTGCTAGACAGCGGTGCTTTGAGTTAAATGACATGCTGATGATTAGCAGGTATAATGTTTATTATTCACCAACTCAATGTAGTGCATGATAACACGTACCAATTAGATAGATCCTAAGGCTTATAAGAATGTAATTTTTTCAGTAGGTGTCATGTCATTAACCAAAGAACTGTACTGTCCCTCTGTTACCACCACTCTGATCATCCTCTTCGATCTCTACCAGTTTTAGGACATTGGTTCACCCGGACTTGACAAAGGATGGAAAGCCTGGTTCGTCACAATACAGTGATGGCAGAGGGTAGGTTCCGGTGGCACAGTTATTCCTCTATTGACACATACATGGTAAAGAGGAGGTGCCCCTCTGTCCTGAACAATGGACGTGACAAAATCCAATGGTGGGATGATGAGTAAAGGGATTTTTGCAAGTAGCTGCATGCTGTGGAGCGCATATATGAAACCTATATATAAAAATTGCTTATAATGCAGGGAGAGTCCTGACCTGAGATCTTCAAAGTTAAACTATTATCTTGTGCACAACCCACTACTTCAAATTACTCCTAACTGCATAATAGTGAGTTGAATGCAGTGTTTCTCATTCATATTATCTATCCCACTGCACAGACCCAGTGTCATAGGTCTGATATAGACAAGATAATGACAAAAACAGCTAAAAAGAATTTATACAATTTCTAAATTTTATGGCCTCATTTTAAACCATTGTTCTCGTTTCTGTGTTGCAGTCCCCCTGGTCCCCCTGGAGGCAGGAGGAGAATGGGAAGAATAAACCATGGTGCAGGTCCCAGTGCTCCGCCAATGGGTGGAGGAGGATGAGGAAGGTGAGTAATAGTTTTTCTGTATTAAAAGATCCTCCTGGGATACAGAGCTCCTAACTTGTATGGCTGGAGCCTGACTCAGTAAATCTTCTTTCAAACATACATTGATCTCCAGCCATTGTGCTGAACCTTTCCGGAGATGCTGAACTTGAGAACCCATATGTCTGAGTCAGTAGCTGTGTGTGCCCATCTGAGAATACAGCATTACAATGTGATTTTTTGAGGGGTTTCTGACAAAAAAACATGTGATTTCTGCAGTGACATGTATACATCATATCCTGCCTCATGCATCCTCAATCCAGTTGCCACCTCCTGGCTTTGTTTTCTGGTGGTTTGTTAACCCCTCTGATGCCCACAATCTCCTGCTGTGTTCATCATATGTGAAAGACAAACTCAAAACTCTGAAAAGATTACAGGTGTAGTCTAGTAATAAATTCAAAAACTGTTGTGAATAATGTTAACACTTATCAGTTGCTCCTTAATTGATCAACATATATTTTGACAAAATGTATAAATATCATTGCCTCTCTCTCTCTCTCTCTAGGTAAATGCCTACACATCCAGTGTAGGCGTGGGGCTTGGCCTGTCCGTTTGCTGAGGACCTGAAGAAAGATGGTGACGTTACGGTGCTGAAGCCCCTCTTCATCAGCTGCCACTGCCACAGGCAGTTTCTTGACACCTTTCTGGGAATTCCTATTCATAGGGGCCAGAATGGCTGATACAGCAGCTAGCCACATCCCTCCCCCCATTTTCACCTGCATCTACCCTTCCCCTGTAGTCTCTCAGAAATGAGTATCACTGAAATCTCAGTTAGGGTAATCCCCTTAGTCCTTGTTTTGTAACCTTCTGTTTAAATAAAAAATGTGCAGTTATAAGATGCTGCTATTGAGTTGTTCTTATTCCATTACTGAAAAACTTGATAATCAGCCAGCTTGACTCAAGACAACGCTTGACAAAATGAGATGGCAAACTTTTGACTATATATTTGATTGTAAGTAATGTGAGGTTTTTATACAATATTAATTCTAAGTAGGTGATTTGGTGACTGCAAAATAAAGTGGATAATAGCAGAGCGACTAATTGTATTTGTTATTTTTTTAACTCAACTGCAACAGTTAGATAATGCATGTTAGACCTAAAAGCACTGAGTTGCTGTGAGGGTTTTTGAAGAGAGGTTTGGGCTGTATCAGAGACAACAATGTGTTTAAATTCCATTATCTGTATTACCCCCCCTACAAGCTTCAAGCTGATAATAGGCGAGAGCCAGGATACACCCTGGACTGGTTGACTAGAGTCTCACAGAGACAAACAACCATTCACACTCACATTCACACAGACAGTTTAGAATCTCCAATTAACCTGACCCAAATCTGCATGCATTTGGACTGACACCTTTCTGACTGGAACCTACACAGACACAGGGACAACATACAAACTCCACACAGAAAGACAGCCGCCAGGCTGGGATTTGAACCTGCACCACTGTGCCGCCCTGTTAAAATTCAATATATGCATAATTCAAAGAAAGGTAGAGTTGTTGGACAACTATTGTGTAACAGACTATCACAGGTTTATTAACACAGCTCTGAGTTTCCATAAACATGGGAGAATCAGTTATATTTACAGAATTGTAAAAAGTGAGCACACTCATATTATAGACTTTTCAAACATTCAAGACAATAGCAACCTCTGGGGTTTTAGAGCAAGAAGAGAAAAGATAGTTCTGGTGGTATCAGAAAAATGACACTTACCCATTATTCACAGGGCTGTTACATTGACTTTAACTTGAGCACCTCTGGTCTGTTCAAGAGCTTTATCATGCGCTTGAGAATTTTATCATTTTGTGATAAAAGTCTTGATGTGTCAATTTGTGTCCTGGAGGAGTTTCTGAGTTTGATTTTGTTTCACCAGACGAAGGCAGCTCTTTCGCGGAGCATTCGCACACCAAAGCGCTGCCATTCCCTCTGGTGGATCCACATCTCCTGGGTGGTGTCCAAACACGCCAGCACTGCTCCCCCCTTCCACGATATCAGACGAGGGTCCATGTCCTACAAAACATGACATTAGAAGAGGCAGTGTATGCTATTATTGTCTCCCTCTCTCTAGGATGTATGTATAATATTGTGCAGCACTCATTAATTCACATCTTCTATTAAATATGGTAATAATAATACTGAGCACCATGATACTCTGCCAGGATTGCGGATCCCTATCTTAGACTGTACAATGAATTCCAGGTTACCTTTGGTCGAGTGATAACTTCCACATTGTCTACCAGCCTTCTGAAGGAGGGCGGCATCTTATTGATGATGCGGTGTAGCAGAAATTCCTGAGCTCCGTGAAACATGAGCCCACCTCCTACTACCAGGATGGAGCTGTACATCTTTCGCTTGGTTTCGTCTGAAGCTGTTGAATAAAAACAGTAGACTTAAAACAGGATGTCCTGAGCTGTGAGCAACATCTATCCTCCTTTATTATTGTACTTTATTGTAAATTAAATAACTTGACAAGACGTAAGATATGATTACATTTTTTTATAGTATTACTCTACCACTTTCCTCCCTTCACCATTCATCCACGCTTACCACAGCAGTCGATGCTATGCAGGATGGCTTTATCCAGGCCCAGTGCTTTGCTCTCAAACTGGTTCATGATCGCAGTCTTCCTGGAGAGGTGAGCGGACAGGGGCTCATCTACGTCTCCCGTCCCCATCATGCACTCTCCCTGGGTAGGCCCAAGCTCCATCTCCCCTTGCATCCCGGCTCCACTGCTGCCACTCCCGCAGCCCCTGGGCAAGTCAGAGAGCTCTCCGATCCCTCCTTGATTGCTCATCTCCCCATCCAAAGCTCCACCAGGTCTGGAGAGAGCTTTCCGGTCTGCAGCCGATTTGGAGGACTGTAGCAAAAAACAATGGAGGAGTAAGAAAAGAAGAATGAGAAACCAAGAGCATGTATCTAAAAAAATCGGTTTGAATTAAAAGAGTGAAATGTGTGTGTGCTACCTGGTCCTGTTTGCTCTGTGTGGCCAGCAGGTAGTGTTCATCATGAGGATCCTCCGAGTTGCCTTGGGAACGGTACTGGAGTGATGACATCTTTTGACCTACGATGCCAAATGTGGTTGGGTAGAAAAGTCCCATGGGTGCCTTACACACAGACACACACACACACACACATGAGAGACAAATAGAGCCATACATAAAGCGTAATTCCAGATCACAAAATAATGCACAGCATTCCAGCACTTAATTCACATCAGCATTGTTTTTCATTACTGTTTATACCTGTAATTTCTCATCTCCTAGTCGAACCTGGTAGAGTAGAGCTGGGGCTTCTGGGAAACGTGTCTGGAATTCATGATCTTGTAGTCCTGAAATGTCCTGTTAACGGAAAGCAGAAGACAACTGCAGATTTCTCTCTTTTCACTCAACAAAGATACACAGATCCTGCTTCCCAGACAAAAAAAAAACACACTTGGTTTAGATGGCAGAACGTCTCTTTCAGGTGTTGCAGTAGCTGACTGTCCAGTCTGCTGCCCAGCTGACAGTCCCTGTAGGGAAACCCCGCTCTCTGCAGGAGCCAGAAGAAAGTACGGGTCACGTCTGAGCCACCGTACGCTAAACTCAACCTGTGGAGTTCAACAGAGTGATGTAAAAAGTCACACTTAAAGCAATATATCAACACAAATCATTTTTTAATACCAATAAACTACTGTTATCCAATGTATGTCACTGTTCCTGATTTCGTTAATAAAAGGGATCCATTGTCTTTCTAATGAAAACCTGGACAAATGTATGATTACATAGAAATGGAGAATAATAAAAAATTGTCTCAAAATATATATAAAAGCGGCTCTCAGTCAGACCTGGAGTTTCGGTGAGACACTCCGTCCTCTACACAACAGAGACTGGTGTTCTGGTCTCCTACATCCACGACACAAGCACTGCTTAACCCACTGCCGAATGTAGCACACACCGACTCCTGGTGCACAATGATTGCTATTAACATGCAAACACACAGACACAAAAAAGACATCGGATGCTTATGAGTAACAGTCTTTGTCCAATGTACCATACATGAACTCTGTGTGTGTGTGTGTGTGTGTGTGTGTGTGTGTGTGTGTGTGTGTGTGTGTGTGTGTGTNTGTGTGTGTGTGTGTGTACCTGAGAAGCCCATATTAAGCAGCAGCATGTTGACAACTTCCTTTATGTGCTGCCTGTTGTAGATGTCAGGGACCAATAGGATGCATCTGTAATACTAACAACCAATAAAAAAGCTCAGCGTTGATTTGAGAAGAAAAGTGTAAAGATAAAAAGAGTACAAATTAAGGAACTTTAACATGATCACAATGATCTAACTTTCAAATACCATGATACATATTAAAATGATGATAAGCCTTTCTATATCTGTCTTCTTTCATCATTTATTATATTCTTCTTTCAATGTGTTGCAAAGCTTTTGCCCCTCTCTGCCCCTGGAGAAAAGAGAAACGAGGAGGAAGAAGTTTCCCCTACCTTTAAATCTTTGAGGGGGATCTCAAGTTGCTTCTGAATGACATGACTCCAGATCATCTCGAGGTCAGACAGGACGGCAGTCAGTGAGCCTCCAGGACCAGGGTGCACATTGAGCTGACCTCTGACTACAGGCCAGTGGATGTTGTAACAATCGGATGGATTCACATTGAGAGCCTGCATGAAGCCATGGTAAAGTGGAGAGCAAAAGAGAGAAAAAGCTGGATGAAGAAAATGTATAAAAGAAACAAAGGCTCTTGTCTTGTTCAATGTAAAGAATAATAAAACTAATTTAGAGACATGCACTGACCTCCTCTCCCACCAGATGAGGAGGATGGTGGGCTGTGTTGGTCCACTTCACTCTAGAGCTGTTGTCGAGTACCGCTGGACGGATCTGACAATTATACGCTCTGGCCTACACACACACACACACGCACACACAATAGTAATTTACATTTCTGTCATTTGTCTCCTCCGTTCTTTCCCCCATGAGATGGACTCGAACCACTTTGCTTGCGTAAATGTATTTGCACAAATCCTTTCTCTTCCTGTTGTTCTCCTTCATAATACACATACCTGTTCAGCAGACACTGGAGTCCTCCGCACGCCATTTGACATCTTCTTTGACCAGATGGCCTGGTCGACCATTTTAAGTCCATTCTGCCTCTGCTCTTTACTCTCTGGTTTCTGGTGGATGAATGAAAAATGACACGCATATGAAATTTATTTGAACAGCCGAGCAAAACACAGACTGAAAGAATTTATCGTTGTTGTATCTAGTCAAGAGTGACATACATTGAGACCATCTCTCAGCAGCCAGGCGTCTTCATATCTGGGCTGTCCACTTTGCTTGTGCCTGCGTGCTATCACATGTGGGATCATCACCGGAAGATTGTCTGTTGCCCGGCCAATACGGAGTGTCCTTGAACCAGGGTGGATGACGACTATAAAATTGCTTTGTATTTGCTGTAAAAGAGGAACATTTAAAAATGATCAGGAAAAAGCCTAACTTACACTTCTATATGTGATTATTAAACATTTTGTTTCAAAACCAAAGACACTGATGTGCTTCTCCAACTCTCGCTGCTCTTCTAGGAAAACCTTTAACTAAGACTTTGGAGCCTGGCTGCAGGTATTTGTTCCTGTTCAGCCACAGCATCTTTAAATTGACACAGAGGTTAGGTCATAATACCGAACACACTGTGTTCCGGTGCAGCACAAAGGTGTGGGATGAGGCTGAGGTCAGGAATGTTAAATAGTATTATAGTACTATTGTTTGCCTTTAATTTTTCAATTTTAACTTGTAAAGCACCTTGTAACTGTGTTTTGAAGTTTATCTTCAGATAAAGTGTATCTAAATTATTATTAATAATAATAATTTTCGGTTTGGAACATATAAACCAATGACAAACAGAAGTGCTGAACATGAGGACTCAAAGCATCTGAACACATCACTTTGGGCATATTGCAGCTTGAAATGGGTTTTGGTGAAATGTTTGACATTTAGCTCAGCATAAAATAAAAACAAAGAACAATAATATTATCAACAACTAGTGCGTAAATGTAAAGTAACCAATGAGTCTCAGTAACGAAGACTTTACTGTAGAGGAGGCAAAGCCTGAGCATGTGAAAGCTATAAAGAGAATCGTAGCCTCATATGAAATCATGAGGGTAAACAGTGGAGTGACCTCCTGCAGGGGCTCCGAGATGACTGGAGGAGCGATCGGTCTTTTCACCCCGCGCTGCTGCTCCTTCTCTTTCTCCTTCTCTCGTTCCTTCTCTTTCTCCTTCCCGTTGTCCTGCTCCTTCTCGGCCTGAGTCATCTTCACCTTTACTTCACTCGTCTCAAGGATCCGAGTCTCTGTCTCTGGCGCCTGTAAAACTCCTCAGAGTCAACAACAGACACGAAGCTTCCGCTGGAGAGAAACGCTGCTCGCTCCGCCACTTCCGTGTTTGGTCACATGGTACAAAACAGCGATTTCTATTCGTCGACAGGTTGATTTCCGCTAAGCGTCCACAGCTTCTGATCTCTGATTCAAAAATGATGAAATAAAGTTGCGCAAACCAGGAATTATTATTAATTGTTTCTAATTCTTATTATTTTTTTTACAGAACATTGACACAACATAACACGTTACTCGGTATCAAGTTTCACGTTTTATTTGTCAGATGTGAGTGAACACAATGAATCGTGTTGTAGGAGAAGTACAGGTCAATAACATTATCTCACAGAATCATTTCAGATGTGATTATTTTACTGAATTCATGATCCAACTGGTCAAACAGAGGGAGAGAAGGCAAAACAAGTGAATAAAACAGTCCCATTACCTAGTTAACAACACGTGAGGGTGAATGTGGACAAGGTTACGATCCTTTTTTTATACAGCACTGTTTTCACACAACAATTTAATATTGGTTTTATGTGTAATGCTTATAGGATTCCATTTATTCTCAAAGTATGTTTGTCAAGGTATCCAAAAATCAAACAGTATATAGATGCAACTTATAAATAAAATAAATTAACTTATAACTTTTACATTTGTTTTCAGTATGTTAGTATGTATAATGCCAGACTGTCACATTTCTGAATTATGCATAAAAGATTTTAGTATTGTTTATGATCTTATATATATATCGTTGTAAACAAAATCATTATAAAGTACATAATAAATTAAGTATTACTATTCAGAAACAGTTTGTATAAATCTACAGTAATGTATTGACTCTACAGTATTGACTTTAATAAAGCTTTTTACTACAAATACATTTCTCAATACTCTTCCGCACAAAAAATGGAGACCTAAATTGTCTTTGTTCCCTATATCTGTCTTTGTTGGTGTTCACCAGTTTTGAAGCTGTTTACTGTTTTATATGAAAACAGATTAAAAGGGCAGGTTTCTACACTACTAGAAAAACATTTCTGTTATTACAAAATAGATGAAAAAACAGACTACAAAATGCAGTGGTGCAAACCACTGATTACATCCTGGTGTCAAATGGTTTGGATGATCTAAATACATAAAGGTCTGCAGTGAGATATCTTTGAAAAGTAAATTGCATTTTTCAAAACAATAAGAATAACTGAAGAGTTTCCATCCCTCATTATATAGTCATCTGCTCATTCTCATTAAATGTTCAAACTGAGGTGACCACATTTCTCAGTGGTTCCATGTGTCTGAAAAATCTTTTCTACAGCTTCTTGTAACTTCACTGTGCTCTTTTCACTGTAGGAAACCTGTGCCCGGGAACTCAGGTAGGACATCTTCTTGTTGCCCTGCCTCTGAGTATGAAGACTCCTGCACAGCTTGTTCAAATCCTTCATCAAACAGAAGGACCTGCACGCCCTAAGTTCCACTGCCAAGTCACTACACAGCCTTTTGTCCTGTTGCTTGCCCAGTTGCACCACCCAGAACTTAGCCAGGTCACTGGGGCTTTTTGCATGGCTGGCCACCATGTTGAGGGTCAGAGGGTAAAGGTCATGAGCAGCTGCTGGGATGGAGGGTTGTGGGAAACTGCCATCAGGAGGAGAGTGGCTGGGCTGTTGAGAGTGCTGAAAGGAGAGGAGATAATGCTGCAGCATGGATTAAGTCAATAAAGGTAATTATATATTATATATTATATTACAATATGAGAAAAGATGAGTCCATCATATAAACAATGACACAATAAACACTGACCCCAAAAGTCACTGCTAGTGAGATGGCAAAAAATAGTCGAAATATGCTGTATAAATGACCTACAACATACAAGCTGTACCTGAGGGCAGATGATGAGCACTCGGTCGGCAGCTTTGGCCTGTTCCGCCAGCCAGCGCATCGGCCCCAGAGCTGCTATCTTCCCCTGCTGCCACATGTCGATAGCCACTTGGCAGCCACCGTGCCACTGCAGGAACTCTGTCAGGGCCACCACAGCCTGCTGGAAGGCTGCATTCTCAGCAGGGTAAACCACCAGGACAGGGACCGGAACCACGAGAGTTTGAGGTAAAATTTGGAAACCAAACGGTTTGGCAATTCTGTTTCTGTATTTATCTGTGGTGTAAGAAGACAGTTTCAGCACCTAGCAGCAGTATCAAACATTTGGTATAATCTGAAAGGGATCTCTACATTTTATAAGGAAAGGTTGTTCTGAGGCAAACATTTATCTAGTTGAATACTTGAAGAGAGAGATTGTTGTTAATGGGTTTGGAAACATTTTGCAATTTTCAAATGTTTTGGATCAGTAGTCAGCGATTGAGGACATATCCAGAAGACATAAATGTTAAATGGAACTATGATAAATGGGAGCATTTCTGATAAATTTGACATTGCTTCACACATTATAAAAATGTAGCACTGGATTAAACCACGATGTGCACACATAGAAAAGGAGTTGCAGTTTTTTGGTGCCAAGGTCCTCCTACCACTAAATATACATTTTAAAAGTAGGAAAATTACATATAATGTAGCAGAATGTCAGGATCATCAAACAGATCATTCCTCCGACCATGGCGACAGCAACGTGACCTATTCTCAAGGCTGAACAAAAAACACATGAACATGAAACATATCCTTGTTTTACTTTGTGTGATACTGACATTGAATGATTTCGTGACAGTGTGATGTACCTGTGGATACTTACATGAAGCAGTGCTCCTGCCTGGAGTGACAGCTGTAGCTGAAATATTTTAGGAAATTCTTTAGGAAGGTATGATGGATTGCAAACACACACAAACAAGAAAAAATGTGATCACTCACCTGTAGAAATATGAGAAGACTGCAGTGCAACACTTGCTAAAAAAAACATGGAGTCAGAGAGAAAGTGTTAACATTGTATTTTATATAGTAATGTTACTGTTGAGGAAGTTACTGAGAATCAATAAAGATGGGAATAACAATTTTACTTACACTTTGTTGGATAAGGTATCCTAATTAGTTTTCTCTTGTAAGAGGAGTCGCTCCCCAGTGGAGGCAAAGGGAGATTAGTAGCTTGGATGAGGTAGGTACCAGGGCTTCCTCTTATTAAGTAATGAAACCATAACTAGATTTGAAAAGATGAAAAGTTAAAATATATATGTACATACATATATATATTCTCAATTTATAAAAATAAATTACTATCAATACAAGATAATATTCAATCCATGACACCTGTGGTGCGCCAGTCTTGTCTGCCTTGGACAAATGTGGGTTGTATTCACAGATGTACGATGCTTCCCCTGTCAAGATCTGCGTTCCCGTCAGATACTCAACACTAACTGCAGAGAGACAGAACATGAAAGGCAGAGTTCAATAATGTAAGATCTCTATCCTCTCACTGCTCAGTCTATTTGTTCATTTAGGAATTCCTGCTATGTTTTCATCTGCTTCACCACTCCCTCTTTTCCACACTGTCAACATTTCCGGTTATTATTTACTAATATGATTGTAACTGACACTGTCCTGCTCGCAGTATCACTGAGTCTACAGTGATATACAAAGTGCTGTACAGCAGAAAACAAATGGTTAGAATACACAATTCAGTACATGAATAATAATAATAACAACAACAATAGTGCTGCATAACAGAAAAAAACTAAAGAAAGTACATAAATGATAATGGTAGTAATAATAATCATTATAGAGATGAAAGAACAATAACACCCTGGCACCCCAAGTAAATTCTGGATTATGCCTTCTTAAAAAATATATGTTTTTGGACATCTAATATTTCATAGCTTCTATTGTTTGTCTGATAAAACACTATTAAAGTGAACCATATGTTTGTCTCCTACCATCAATGTTGACTGCCCAGCTGATGTTCAGCATATCCTTTCCTCCCTCTGTCACATGTGCCACCTCAAAGTCTGCCAGGACGGATGGAGAGGTGCCATTGCTGGGATGGAATTCTGTGACTGTGATCATTGTCCACAAATACATAATGCGTTTAATATCAATGTCTGATATTTGATCAGAATCTTTAAGTCAATGTAAAGAAGTCTGAAGCCATTAATGTTAAAAACCTATTTTTGATAAACTCTTGTTGCTTACAAATGAAGCCATTTTATTTCACATAAGTTTGATTAATGGGAATTTCTAGCTGATGTGTCATTCGGGACAACAGAGATGACAGAGACATGGGAAATCTTTACTGTCACATCAGAAGAGAATACAAAAATACAACTTACCATCAAATTCGTGACACTCCACTTTCTGCAAACCAACGAATCACGTTAATTACTTCCGGTGTTGAGTAAAACATTTAAGGGCTTGGTTACTAAAATCAATAACTTACAGTCTCATGAGACATCACGTGCACGTGGACACAAGAGAAAAGAATCAACGCGAGTTTCCACATCATGAAGCACATGTCTGGCCTGACAATAAAAACACAGATAAAAAGAAGAGAAAAGTGAGGTACGCTTCTATAATCAAATAAATCTTAATTAATTAGTCTGTGTATTCTAATTATACTGCAAATAAAGACAAACAATTAAGGCCCATTCTGTCTTTATCAAATAATTCTGTCTCAGCTTGAGCAACAACAGCAACAACAAAGAGGAAAAACCAATATATAAAAACACATTCGATTAACATGAATGCACATGAAAGAAAGAAACATAAAGCTATCTTTTATTTACTTAAACATCTTGTGAATACAACTTAACAACTTTCAATGACTTATTTAAAAGTTTTAACTCATATTATGTACTCTATCTACCATTTATGTATAAAGAATCTGCCCTAAAAACAATACAATATTTAGGATGAATTTGATCATCTTGACTGTCAAGGGAGGTAGTTCAATGTCTCTGGACATCACAGCATCCCAGAAAGACTCACACTGTAGGGACACATGTTCCAAACTTTGACAACAAGGAATGACAGTTCAGTGGATGTTTGTCAGTCCATGTCTGTAATGGTATCTGTATTGTATTATACTGTGATAATAATAAACCTCAAATTATAGCACTTTACATAATAAACAGGCAACATGTACATAATGAATAATATCCCTTTCACAAAGTTATTCACATACAAAATACACAGTTATTCACATACAAAATACACAGTCATTCACATACAAAATACAGTCATTCACATAGAAAATACACAGTTATTCACATACAAAATACAGTCATTCACATAGAAAATACACAGTTATTCACATACAAAATACAGTCATTCACATAGAAAATACAAAGTCATCCACATACAAAATACAGTCATTCACATACAAAATACACAGTCATTCACATAGAAAATACACAGTCATTCACATAGAAAATACACAGTCATTCACATAGAAAATACACAGTCATTCACATACAAAATACACAGTTATTCACATACAAAATACACAGTCATTCACATACAAAATACACAGTTATTCACATACAAAATACACAGTTATTCGTTAGTTGGCCTCATTTAAAATGTTGACTTCCACCCCTCACATAGAGGAAGTGGATATGAAATATAGGTTTTTCTTATTTTCTCTCTCTCTCCTCCACAGTGCCTCTGATCACATTAGGTAAAGATAATATCTATTTCCTAACCAGTTTCCCACAGAAAGAAAGCACTGACCCTGACACAGACTGTATTCTGAAGTGTATCATCCTACCTGGAGTGGATTTCTTGCAGATTCTGGTTTAAGCTTCAGCTCCGCTATTTTATACGATGGCCGCTAGGCTCCGCCCCTCAGTCGTCCACCGTTCAGTCTGCGGTGGTGAGTTCACGTCCAGGTAAGATCCTCGTTTAGTGGCTGCTTTAGTCTACACGGGGACACTTTCCTCCTCAATGTGACCACATTCAATCTCTGTTTAAATCCGAGTGTAGCGTGTGAAGTGGTACTGCAGAAAAGCGACTGTTTGTGTGTTTGTTTGTGTGTGTTTGTTTGTGTGTGTGTGTGTGTGTGAGAGAGAGAGAGCTGCGGACGAACAAACAGTCCAGAAATAAAGTCCTCACCGCTGACACCGAAGATTTGAGACATTTGATCGTCTCTTTGTCAGCACGAGGAGTTTCTAAAGTGTGTTTAAATGAAGGAGACGTGTTTCCACACACGCAGCTGCAGCAGACCGATATAGACCCAGCGAACGGTTACCACGTTCTCATTTGATCGTAAACATTTAACTCAAAAGTGACATTAAGAGATGCATTTAACTTCATTGAAGTGTGTTTTCCTCTTGTTGTGTTATTTGTATGAAAGTGTCATTTGATTAAATGTGTTTACTGACATTCTGAGTTCAGGTTGCAACTGAAACTGCTGAGCTGAGTTTACTGCCTCTGACCTAGATTCTCCTGACACAGCCTGATAACACACTCACTCTGGTAGAGATCAATAAGTATTGCAATATAACTTGCATCAATAGCAGCATAACAAATTTAAACTAAAGCAATATAAAAAAAGTCCAATGTATGTCGATGTATTGCTTATGAATGGTGCAGAAATGGTTAGGAGGTTTATTAAGGCTGAGATGATAAATCAATATAAATAAGAAGCACAGTATCATTTTCATCATCGCAATATAACTGTCATCGATAGCAATATAACACAAGTTCAGAATATATATTGGTATAGTACTTATACATTGTGTAAACACTGTGAGGAGGTATATTGTGGCAAGGCAATACAACAATATAAATAATTATCCCAAATATAATTTTCATCAAAAGCACTGTAACAAAAAGTCCAATACATATCAATGTATCACTTATACAGTGTGCAAGCACAGTTTGAAGGTGTATTAAAATGATACCAATTATATTGCAGCATAATTTTCATAAATAGCAACATAACAAAACTCCAAAATACATATCCATATAATGCCTTTGCCTGTGCAAGCACAGTGAGGAGGTATATTAGGTCTGCAATTTATTATTGCAATATCATTATGTAGTTATAAAACAAAAGTTAAATTTATATCGATATATGGCTTATACATTGTGTAAGCGTTTGTCATTCTCTGCTCACTGAAGAAGAGTTTAAAACAACCTTTGCTCCGACTCAGGAGTAAAAATCTGTCTTTATATTGATTTTAGAGAGCTCCTGAAGATTTGGCCATATCATCCAGCCCTACTTGCTCCCAATATGGAAAAGCTTTCAAAAAGATTTACATTTATTAATATGACATTTAACACACACACACAGGAAATAGCTTGTCATGCTCTTGGATCTTAACAGACTGAATCACAAAGTCCGACTGCAGCATCATATTCTTACTGGTTAAAATGCTAGACTTTGCCTACAATGACACTTGGAATTAGATGAATGATGAGTGTGAAGCATGATGATGATTAATCTGGGCTCCAGGTCAGCCAATTCCCCATGCTCAGTAAGCTGTTAGTCATTTTGAAATTGGTCAGAGTTTGGCACAAGTAATAATTCACATTGATTGGATCCAAACTGCCAAATCAAATGTCTCTCTGAAAAGCACAGTATAGAATATTTAGTATGACACAAATTAGTGTTATTTCTTGACAATTAAACTGTGTTAGATCTGTTAGTTTCAGATCCAGCTTGACGTGTCTCCTTAAGTGTGTGTTGTTGTTGTGATTTCCAGTTTATGAAGAAACCCTCCCACACCCAGGATGTTGTCTTCGGCCACACTTTGCCAAGCTGGAGCCTGGCGAGTTGTGACCACAACTCAGTGGCGATCTTTGAGTGAGAGGAGATGCTGGTTTGCCCGTTTGCCAGAATGTTTCTCTGTCCCAACGACCAGAAACACGGGTCCTTCCTTTTCCCGCTCCTCCTTAAGCCATTACCGATGCTTTAGTGCCTCTGCTGCTCATTGCAACTCTTCATCATCACCACATCAGAAAACCCCGTCCTACAGCTATATCATTGTCGGGGCCGGGTCGGCGGGCTGCGTCCTTGCAAACCGTCTCTCAGAAGATGCCCATGAGTCTGTGCTGCTGCTGGAGGCTGGGCCTAAGGACATGTTGCTAGGCAGTGTACGGTTGTCATGGAAGACACACATGCCGGCTGCACTGACCTACAACCTCTGTGACGACAAGTACAGTAGTTTAACTTTCTTTACTCGTCCGTCACTGGTTTCAAAACGTGTTGGTGCCAGATGTATGAAAATATTTTGAAATCTGAGTTAAAATTTGGATATGATATCAGAGTATTCAGTCTGTTAAATCACCGTCGAAGAATAATTATTCATAAAGTTAAATGTGAATTAATGCTATTGATGCCATTCATTTGATGCCATGCTGCATTTCTTTTTATTTCTCTGCAGGTATAACTGGTACTACCACACTTTACCCCAGGCCCATATGGACAACCGGGTGATGTACTGGCCGAGGGGTCGTGTTTGGGGGGGGTCCTCCTCGCTCAACGCCATGGTGTACATCCGCGGACACGCCGAAGACTACAACCGGTGGCAGAGAGAAGGGGCCGAGGGCTGGGATTATGAACACTGTCTGCCTTACTTCAGGAAAGCTCAGTGTCATGAGCTCGGAGAAAATAGGTATGTACAAAAAACTATCTGGAGGATATTTTTTTAATACTTAGTGGATATTCAGGGACAAAGGAATCATTACACTGGAAGGGCGAGTACTTTGGTTCCATAGACTCATCAGGTGTCAACGGTTTATTTTTAATTTTGACACGGTGAGGATCTTTCCAGGAAGAAGCTGAACACACTGGCTTAACACTGCGTGTCACATATTTGAATAACATACAAAATAGTCTGGAAACCCGTAAGCACATGGAAAGGAAAGATGTAAAGCATCTCTGACCCAGAATGTCACTGGCCAAAGATACGTGTTTGTGATTTAATGAAAGATAGAGAACTAAGATATTACATACAGTAATTACATTGATTCTGTGAATGTGTTAAATGTGTCCAACGCTGGTTTAGATGAATGTTATTCTCCTGCTGAGCAATAAACCACCAGATATTGTCCATTTATTTCTGTTAAGAACAATCCAATGCTCAACATGAGATCAAAGTCCGATGGTTGCTAGTTTTCAGGAGCCGATAAGGTGCAAACAGCTTCACAGTTTTGGTTTAAATAGAAAAAATGTGGCGGTCTAACATTTATAGAATCCCTCCAGCATGAGGTTTAGAACCTGTGTAGTCTCTATTTAAAGGGTTGTTTTATTTTTTGTGTCAATCGTTCATTGAAAACAACTCTAGAAATTGTTTAATCATATTCATCTTTTAGTTTTAGGAAGAAGGGTCTCAGCATGTTTGTTTATCAACCTTTATCATCACTATAAATTCAAAAGCTCTGACTGGATGTTTGGCATGAAAGCAAACAGAGGGATATGTAGTACTGCTGTTAATAAAATGATTGGGAATGTTAACATTTGTGTATTTATGTGTGCACTCTAGGTATCGAGGTGGCAGTGGACCTCTTCATGTGTCGAGAGGGAAGACCAGCCACCCCCTTCACAAGGCTTTTATTGAGGCGGGGCAGCAGGCAGGATACCCCTTCACTGACGACATGAATGGGTACCAACAGGAAGGCTTGGGCTGGATGGATATGACCATTTATAATGGTTTGAGGAGCTATAACTATAATTATAGGATCTTTCAGATTCAGTGTTCAAACAGTTTAAAAGTTTATGAAACAACCCCTTAATATTATCTGCATCCAACTTCTAAATCTGTGCAGGGAAGAGGTGGAGCACAGCCAGCGCCTACCTGAGGCCTGTCCTGGGTCGACCCAACCTGAAGACAGAGGTGCGCTGCCTGACCTCCAAGATCCTGTTTGACGGAAACCGTGCGGTGGGAGTGGAATACATACAGAAGGGACAGAAGAAAAGGGTAAGATGCTTCCGGACATGCATTGAGCTCTGGACATTAAGCTGATTGGCTGTATGTGAGAACGCAAATGTCAAAGTCACTTGCTGGGGACATTTTATGCAAGCTTTTCTGCCAGACCCCTTAGTTAAATGTCTTGAGTATGTCCGAGTGAGAACACAGCAGGACAAATATCTCCGAAAGAAAATAAGGATCTGTATATGTAGAAGACATCAACATTATGAGACTTGAAAGCTTTTGGTGAAAAGAGCTGATGCTGGGGTCAATGTGCTGTAAACATGTGGTTTCCACAGTGGTGTTTATATCACGTGTAGCCCTCTACATGTGCTATCCAGGCATTACCCCTCTCCTGAATGTTGTGCACACTTTCCTGTTGTTGTGAACTGATCTGACCTAAACTATCTCCTGCTGTGTTCTTCAAAGGCAAACCCATGTCTGGAAACAATTTTCTGCAGTTAATGTCTGTAAACGTCTCTATCAACATTGCAGTTTCCCTAGCTTTTTATCTGGTATTGTAATTCCCATTCAGTCACTCATCAGTTTTTATCTTCTCTCCTCAGGTGTTTGCAGATAAAGAGTTGATATTGAGCGGAGGAGCCATCAACTCCCCTCAGCTTCTCATGCTGTCTGGGGTGGGAAACGCTGACGACCTGAAACAACTCGACATCCCTGTGGTTCAGCACTTACCAGGTATTTTTAGGCATTTACAAAGATCTAATTCCAACAAACTGAAATGGAAGAAAAGGACTCACAGAACCTCATAATCATTAGAAAACAGACCAAATTGCTTTTATTGTCTCCTTATGTATTTTCTTTGTCTCAGGTGTTGGCAGTAACCTACAGGATCATTTGGAGCTGTACGTCCAGCAGCAGTGCACTCAGCCCATCACCCTGTACAAGGCCCAGAAACCTTTCCACATGGTCAAAATAGGCCTTGAGTGGCTCACCCTGTTCACAGGTAATCAGAGGCACCTACACATGCAAATGGCAACACACACGTTCTCCTCGATGTTCAGCTAAAGAATACATTTCTGTGAGGTTGTTTCACTGAAAGACATTGATTCAGGATTTATCAGTTATGAGCAGGTATGTGTCCTATTCCTTCCACTCAATGTTCACCAGTCAGATGCATGGAATTATTTACTCTTTGGGATTGGCACTGCTAATACAAGTAATCTAAAGAGAAATAAAACTAAAATAATAACTGAAATAATCTGACTTTTTTAAGAAAAAAAAAAAGGAAATCTTTATTCAAGAGCGTGGTCTTTCACTTCGAGAGCAGGACTTATTGATTTCACGTTCAGATTTTTTTATGTTTTCGCTCAAAACCCTGCAGTTGCATTAGAATATCCCCCGTTTGTGCTTAGATTTGCTCTGATTATGCTCAAACTGTGCACTTGCACTCAGGTATTTTGTTGCTTGGAAGGATTTCCTGCGCTCCAGCTTCAGCTCTTCTCCTCACACGGTGTCTATGCTTCTCTGATCTCTTTTCTGCGTGTATGCAACAAGTCTCTCATAATTCCCCAGCCATTAGAACACCATGTGTAGTGTTGACAAGAGAAATCTAAAGCAGGGTATATTTGAGTGAAAGCATTATAAAAAATGAACGTGAGATCAGTCCTGGTCTCAAGCTAAAAAGATCACGCTCTTGAATGAAAGAAACATTCTGTGATTATAAAGAGGAGAAACACAACAATATAACAATATATTCAACTGTCTGGTGGAGGTTTCACGAGACAAATTCAATTATTACATGCGCACAGGAAATAAGGGGGTTTTATAGGTGAGCCGGAGGACCATTTTTTTGGGCATGCACACCACATTTCGCTCATACAGACAGGTAGAAGTCTTCATAATTTTGGCAGTGGCTTGACAAGAAAAACGAGGTGTGGTAAATGTCAGTGCAAATTAATTATCACGAACACAATCTGTGTCACCATCCCCCAGGTTATGGAGCAACAGCCCACTTGGAAAGCGGAGGGTTTATCTGCAGTCGCCCCCATGTTACACACCCCGACATCCAGTTCCACTTCCTGCCCTCGCAGGTTATTGACCACGGAAGAGTTGCCTCTAAGATAGAAGCGTATCAGGTAATAAACTGTGGCTGTGTTTTGTGTAGGTGGGAAATATGATGGGAGACAAAACCAATGTATTTGTGTTTGGCAGATATTAGGAGGAAGTTACTGTGAGTCATAATTAGATTTATGATTAGAGCAAAGGTCATAAAGGTGTGTTGACATCATAACTAAACGTGCTGTTCCATGTAAATCTGTTGTAATTTTTCTTTTTTGTCAGAGATGTTTACTCAGCCAACCACCAGGAGATAATATAGCCCTACCCTGCCCACAAATTACCACAGAGTCTGAGCTGTGGGTTTCTACAGGAACCCTTCAAATGCACAAAGATGGTTGTTTTTTACAAAGCTGTCTTAAAACACAGCACAAAGTTCACACTATTCCCAGGGAGTGTGATTCATGTGACAGAGCTTTGTTTTGTTTTCTGAAATTACGATTCAGACTTTTTCCATACACCCTGTTAGACTGAAGTGCTGTGTCAATAAACTCAGTTTGGGCTTTCAGTTCATTCAGCAGATCATTTGTCTGGAGATTTTCATTTTTGTTCCAGCACCTGTAGAGGGTTTCTGGATGTGGATTGTGCCACACAGAACAAGCAAGTCATTCGGAAAATACAGTGGCACTTTGGGATATTTGTTATCTGTGTTTTGTTAAGAGACATTCTTCTAAAGATCACTGGGTGTTGTTGTGTTGTGTTGTAGGTTCATGTGGGACCAATGAGAAGCACCAGTATCGGCTGGATGAAGCTGAAGAGCACAAACCCTCTGGATCACCCGAGTCTCCAGCCCAACTATCTCTCCACTGGTAAGATTCACTCCCTGAACTCTTCATCAACCAACTGCATCAGAGAGCTTGAGAAGATCTGTCTGTCCACGAAGATATTAAACTTCTGCTATGATTGAAGGGATATGATAGTAATTTGAAATATTTCCAATTCATTAGTGTAATTCGTAATAAATATTCAAATTTAAATGTTGGAGGTTTGACTGGTGTGACAGCCTCTCCATCATTTCCTCTCCTCTCAGATGTCGATGTGTGGGAATTCAGAGAGTGTGTTAAACGCTCCAGAGAGATTTTTGCTCAGAAAGCCTTCGATCCGTTCCGCGGCACCGAAGTCCAGCCTGGTCCTCAGGTCCAATCTGACGCCGACATTGACGCTTTCGTCCGCCGAAAGGCCGACAGTGCCTACCATCCTTCCTGCACCTGCAAGATGGGCTCGCCCTCTGACCCGATGGCGGTCGTCGACTCTAACACGCGGGTTTTGGGTCTGGAGCGGCTGCATGTGGTTGACGCCTCCATCATGCCCAGCATCGTCAGCGGCAACCTAAATGCGCCGACCATCATGATGGCCGAGAAGGCTGCTGATATCATCAGAGGACGGCCTCCTCTCATCGACGCAGGGGTTCCCGTGTACCGACCACCAACGCTCGACGTATAGAGATGAACAGAGATCCAGACGAAAGGGTAATATGTTGTCGGCCATTAGGCAACAACAGCAGTGAGCAGCTTGTCAGGAGGATCTTTCATCTGTTAATTAATGTGTGTTTTCAATACTGGTGAATTTTAACAGTTTACATCTGAAATGCAGTTTTACAAAGATAATATAGAAACAGTGGCCTTGGTCTCTCAGCCACACAGCAGTTTTAATGTTGTGGCTGAATATAAAAATAGAATATACATTCTATGTGTATATTGACTCAACTTTACATATACTGACTTGACACTTGCACACACTTCATCCAGTATTTGTTGCACCAGCTACAGTTATTTTTAAGCCTTTTTGAAAAAAAATCAAAACCCTTTTTTTCATAATCACACGACAATAATTGACAGCAGCAGGTTCGGTTATTAATCTGCTCTAGACAGTTATCACCGTTGTCACATCCCTCTTCCTTCCTGAAAACTTGCAGATTCAACATTTAGGTTTGTCGTTTGTTTGTAACATTTTAACTATAAAAAACAATATAAAATTTCCACTTTTAGTAAATAGAAATCTAGCCTCATCTCTTCTTCAACAGTAAAACAGTTTGGAGTTTTATCGTCAGGCTTTCAATCGTTTTTAAATTCCACAGTATGAACTCTGGCCTTATATGGTCTTGAGACTTGAGCTCGTCTGACAAACAGATGTGACAACCAGAAGTGTGTTTCATATTTAAAAAGAAAAGCACACAGCTCATTTTCTGTTTTAATGCTTTGCTTCAGGTTAAAACGGATCCTCCTGATGTGTGAAATATGTTACTTTGGATGATCACGTTTTTCAGCTCCAAGCTTTCAACTGCGTCTCGGTTCAGACCAGTCTTGCTGCAGCTGAAGTAGCAAAAAATGCAAATTATAACCCTGAATATATGAAAAAGTCCAAAAACGAATCTAAAAACTAGATAAAAAATCAATTGCACGTTTATTTCTATGTTTACAAAGAAGCTTTTGAAGATGATTGTGTTGAACCGACCGACCGATCAAGTTTTAGAATCAGCTTTACTGAAAGTCTTAAATTCATACATGAGGTATTACGATATGTTTACATTATATAGTGTGTTACACAATATTAATTTTATGTTTAAATCATTATCATGTGTATTAATGAAGGATCACAAAGGGAAATGAATTGTGAAAATAGATACAGTATTATGTTTGCATGTTTGTTTAATTGTTTGCACTATAAGAAAACACTAGAATCGTCCTGACACTGTCCTCATTTCATTCAGACTTTATTTAGTCTTTTTAAAAAATCCTCAGCAGGATCATTGTCATTTCAGACGAGAAGTAAAATGTACAAAACTGGGTTTGTGTTTTCATTGGTACAAAAGGTACGAGTACGTTTGCTACAAAGTAGACAGAGCTATGTTTGTTTTTTAATTTTCATACAACAATCGGGTAGAAAGCAGAAATCTTCAAGTTCATCACTGACTTTTTACAAACAACTGTACAGATTTTATACATCGTTACATATTCATCTGCAAAACAGCCAAACAGTACAAAAAATAAAGCTGTCAGTTGCACAACACGGTTCTATGTTGTTGTTTGTCACTATGCCTCTTGCGATAAAACTCTAGAAGTTGGACGTGTGTGTGTGTTTGTGTGTAGTTGTAGTGTGAGTAAACCGCACATTATTATCCTGGTATCTCTGAGTTTCTGAAATGTTGTGAATTGTGAGGTTTGTTTACATCGACTCATTGTGTTAATTTGAACTGAACAAAACCATGTAGTGTTTCCAGAGAATCATTAACTTACCTGAGGTGGCCAATCAGAACTGTTTACAGATAAAATGTTTCAAATTAATACTAACTTCTCAACGTCATGTTTCCTTCATTATGTGTAAATGCAGCCATTACCACACCGTTTCCCTGACACGTTAACTAACAAACCTGGATTGGTACACAGGTAATAACATTAGTATTTGTTGGAAATCTCAATTAAACATTTTACATGCAGTTAAAAAATGCATACGTTGTATATATATCAGGCATATTGGCCATTAAAACCTCTGTGTGTGTGTGTGTGTGTGTGTGTGTGTGTGTGTGTGTGTGTATGATCTGATCTGTAGAAAGGAGTAGAAAGGAATGTATTTACAGTACATGTGAGGAGTGTTTGTGAAACCAGCTCACATCCTGTTCCAGGGTCGATTCATCAGTTAATACCACAACAGCCAACAGCACACCTTCTCTTCAGTATCTGCGTCAAGCATGTTCAGTGTGTGGAACAAAATTTGAAGATCGATGTGCATGTAAATGATGCAATTTTCCGCTGGTTTGCTTTTATATTTGAAGGAGCCCTTTGACTGTACAAATTGAACTTGTTGCCTTGACAACAGTGTATAGATAAAGGGAAAAAAAAAGAAAAGCACGATCGCTCTGCCATGACCCAGCGCTGGTTTTTAAAAGTTGTTATAGTAACGATTCACAAACACCGGCCTGTGTTGGAGGGAACGTTCAAAGCCGTGGGGGAAATATGTTGCTTCTCTAAAGTGTTTTGTTTCTACGAGCAGCTCGTGTCGCAGCATGTTTCTTCAGTGAAGCAGCTGTTTTATCTTGTGCACTCTAACGGTCAGAACAAAAAGGAATCCTACAGATAAAATGTGACAGCTATCATTTCATTAAAAAAAAGAATAAAAAAAAAAAAATACACACACCCAACCACTATTTACTGCATTTATATATATTTTCAGTAAATACAAAAAATTGTATAGTTTTCCTGTCTGTTGTGACGTTTCATGTGTCAGTGTACATTAAATTACACCTGACTCATCCTGAAACAAGTCAGAAAACTGTCATGGCTGCCCAGAGGAGGAGGAAAACATTCCAGCTTGACACATGACTGACAACACATGATACTGTTGTGCTGCAGCAAAGCAGGGGAATCTCTGTATCATCTTTTCTCTCATAAGAAAAAAAACCTGATGAGACATGTGGGATGTATTTTTACAGCATCATGGAACCGTTACTGTTTTGTTACTTTATTATGTATATTAAAGCAGTGACACCTGATGAGTCACCCGCTAGGCAGTGCTCAGTCTAAAAAAGCCTGAATTGTTTTGTTGGGGTTTCCCTAACAATTCTTAATAAGTGGGTTTAGCTTGACGTTACATTTTATGTTCAGTGGCCGTCCACCAAATAGCTGGTTACCTTTTTAACTGATTTGTATTATCGGCCATATTTAAATACAAGGACTCGTTTCGGTCCACTCTTACTTGCCCTGATTCTTTGCCCCACCATGTGCAGATGTGTGCACACACACATACACACAGTGTGATCAGAGCAGTGGACACTGAACCAGGTGAGGCGACTCGAGTTGACAACTATGCTCATCAGTGTCTGTGCGGTTTAAATTAAAAAGTGAAAGGCCAATTTAGTTCTTAATAAATATTTGTTCCACAAACACAGAAAAGTGAGTTTTAAATGTTTTGTTTTACACAACCACAGCGCACTGGTTAGGGTAAAAGCTAATATTCTGGGACATTATACTTTATATAACAAGAAGCCCTCCATATTCAGGTAGCTGTCAATCTCAGAAAGTTTGGTTACCCCTGGTCTAAAGCAGCTGTGAAAAAGAATCTCTGCATATTCTGAGTGCGGTTGTGACAGTTGTTCCTCACAGTTTTCAATTAAGTTAACATCATTGTAACGTCATTCTTAAGTTTGTTTGTTTACTGGTTGTAAAGAGCAGATTTAGCCTCAGGTTTGTTGGTATAAAAGGTGGAAAGGATTGGCAGTGTGTTTCTCTGTGTGTCATATGAGCGTGCATGTGAAACTGAGGGATATGCCTGAGGACAGAGTCTGTCTCGTTGATATGTGATTTCTTTTTCAAGTCAGAAAAACAGAGTAGATCAACATTTAACCCTGAAACCCTGAAAAAAAAAACGTTAACTGCGGATTCACCGGCTGCAAAGTCTTTGGATCGGCCTGATCTGCAGCCACCCTGCTCTGAGATGAAAATAAACCGACATAGAAATATTAACTATACATGTTTTTATGAAGTTATCTGAAGCATGGAGGCCAAACTGTAAAAGACAGAGCAGCAGATCAAAACTGTGTCTATTGCTGTGGCCAGTGAAAGCTTAGAATCACACTTAATATATACATGAAGTGAAACTAAGGGGAATCTTGGAATCATTGAACTGCCATTTTTGGAGCAGGACCACTGCAACTTTGCAAAGCCAGCTCAAGCATTTTTCCTTCACTCCACTCATTGTCACTGGTGTTTGCTTCTAACATCCAAACTGGAGAACGAGGGAAATGTTCTGAACTTTTATTTGGAGTAAAATCTGTTTGTAAGTTTTATTGCCTCCTCATATACATGAGTAAACTGTGGGACTTACGGCCTCGCAGCAGAACAATAACAGGCAGACGATCCCTCGACCTGAAGCTAAAAGTATGACATGTAATCTCAGTTATTGTTATAAATCTTATCCCTGTAGTTTACAGCTGCTGGACTCTGTGAATGTTGTTGGGAAAACTAACTTGACGAACATCGGGCTGGCTTTGCGAGGTTGCTGAGTTGTTCTGCTGCACTGAAAAGAAATTCAAAAGAGAGTCATGAATTATCTTTGTTTAAGAGGCAGCCCGGCAGGTAGATGATTTCTTTATTTTCTCAATTCATCTCAGTTTTTTCACTTCTCATCTCTCTGGAATTTCAGTTTTCTACTCCTCAAAAAAGAGAATCCAAGGCACTTTGTTCTCTTATTTGTCCATGTTTGACATTTTCTGTCAATTCCAGGACGCACTTGAACAGAGACGTCCCCTCAGAGTGAAACAGCAGTTGAAGTTCAATTGAAAAAACCTAAATAATCCTGTGTGAGCCGCTGCTATAGCGACGTGATGCATATCATCTCATCTTTTAGGTCCTCCTCGCATTTCACAGCCACATACGGCTCCTCGTCACTGTAGTCGCGGATGCTGTGGTCTCTAAGATGTACGATGGCTTGTGTGTCCGGGCTGACGTTACCCGTTCCCCCGTTGGTGTCATCAGCCACACTCCCATTCAGGAGATTACTGGCGGCACTCTCCATCTCGTCTATGGTCATCTCGCAGGCGTCTGCAATCTCGTGTTTGGTCACTGAGACAAACTTGGGGTCTTTGGCGTATTTGCCCAAACCCTTGGAGATCAACACCTGGGAAAGAACAACAAAATGATCAAACGGCATCAGGAATGTTTGTGTTTTTTGAAACTGTTTGTTTGGTTTGGACAGTTATTACCATACATTTATTAATAAGCAGTGACATAAGAACCAGGTACAATCCAAAGCTCAGGAGGTCAGATCACAGTTTTTGAGTACTAGTGCCTCAACACGCTCTGTTAACGTCCGTTCTGAGAGATTCAGAAGTGGTCAGCATTAAGTAGTTCACATCTGGCATTAAGATCTGAATGTGTCTGCTGTGTGATCTGATCTCACTTCCTGTGTTTTCCCAGTTTGAGTTTACAGATGTGTGTGTGTGGGTGTGTGCCTATGTGTCGGTGCAAGCAATGGATAAATAAAGAAAGGAAAACAAAAGTGAGCAACAGCAGGGACTAAGAGAATCCATTCACCGTGCACAGCTTTGCAACGGAATAACATTTTACTCTTGAGAATAAACAGAAATCATTATGTGGTGATCAGTGTTGATACTGTGACCACAGACATATCAATGTTCGGACACTGAGAAGCATAAAAATGTGTTTAAACTGTAGCAGGTCAGAGGATGTCAGCTCAGTATGTGGCCCAGAAAGCATTTGCAGTCACACAACGAAAAGAATGTTACCGCATGTATCCAAGACAACCTCCGAATGAGATCGCACCTCAGGCATTGATGACATATTCCAGTGAGTTCAGACCTGAAATCGAAAATGTTTTTGAATAACTACTCACAGCCTCCACCAGACTGTTGGCACTGCCTCTCTTCTGCAGGAAGTGCGAGCAGCTCTCTGCAGGTAACTGCAGTCGTGACGGGGAGTGGCTGCGACTGGGAGGACCGTCCTGGCCGTCTGTGTACCACGAACTCCTCTTCACTGCTCCGGGGATGCTGCTGACGCTGCCAGGGCTGCGCCAGTCCACCTGAATACAAACAGACACAGACACAGACACAGACACACACACACACACACACACACACACACACACACACACACACAAACTTTTATTGACTTTAAAATGCTTGGATCCAGCTTTACTGGAGCATCAACAGCAATAAATACTTTTTCTGGACTTCTCTAACTTAAAATTCGTTGGTGGGAAAACGATGATGAATGAAAGCCAGTTGTATTTCAGTTTTTTTCTTTTTCATTCTCCTTTTTTGTATTTTATCTTACAAAACCAGTCTTGCCCAAAAAACAACAAAACAAACATATAGAAACCTGTATGAGCGGCGTGTAGCAGGGCGAGCAGTTGAGGCTGATGGGTGAAGCAGGAGGCGTGGCCCAGGATCGCAGAGACCTCGTCGGAGACAGACGGTGAATTCTGCTGGGATCAAGACCAGCCACCGCCATTACCTGAGGTTGGAGTTAAAAAATCATGAAATATCATGATTTTAAAAATGAAGAAGAATTATTGACAATGATGAGAATACTTTATATCTATATTTATATAATCATATGCTGGTACCTGTTGCTGCACCAGATGTAGTGGAAGAGCTGTGCATGACGGAGAAGGAGGAGCATCATCCTCACTACTTCTTCGACGGAGACACTCAAAACTAAATGGTTTGTTGGAGGCTGAGAGAAAAATGAAAAAAAAAAATGAAACTGTCAAACTTTCAGTTTCCATATTTGAGAACTTACTGAATTCATATTTTTATTTTATTCAAAAACACTGTTGGATGAAACATTAGAAAAATCAATTCTATGAACAATTATACAAGCACATAATACAGTTATAACAAAACCGAATAGATGGCCTTTTCATTACATTAGTGCTAGTTCCATAGTTATTTTTTACTTGGGTACTTTGAAAGGCAATACATAAATCCAAGTTTCAATTATTATTATTATTGTTTATTAATAAAATAATCCCAAAGTCGCTCCAACTAACATCTAATGTCACAAATAATAAATAAATAAAAGTAAAGTTTATAAACATCTTGAATCTCAATCACTCCACCATGACGACTACAGCTGTTGTACTGCGGCACCTCACCTTGAGGCGAGGGTAAAAACCATCTCCTTGGTGACCGCCTGCTGTCTTGGTGGATCAACTGTTGATCATCACTATAGCAACTATCAGGCTGGTGGTGGTTGCCCCCGGCCTCCTCATGTTCAAAGTCTGCCTCTGAATCATGTTGTTCCTTGTTGGGGAGCCTGTGAAACAAAGAGGATAAAACTTTGCATCTGTAGCTAGACTTTTTTAAACTTAAGTAGCTACATGAATTCTTGACGAGGAGGAATGTCAGACTCAGTTTCTTGTTAGAAACTTGCTGTACCTGTCTCTTGTGAGCATGATGTCATCCTCATGAAACTCCTCTCCGCTGAAGTACTCTCCTGAGCCTGGATCGTCATCGCTGTCCCCACCGCCTGGCTCCTCTCGACGAATGGTGGGGTAGAGTCCACCACCACTTTCTGACCTGGCATCAAAACATTGTGACACAGAGAGAATTTGCATGTATGAATTCAATATCCCCATCTTGCTAATATTCTTTGTTGGAGATTATTATGCAGATTCAGTCTCTCACCTCACGTCTCTGTATAACCAATAATACTGTAAAACCCTGAATTCACTGAAACATCACAGAGCTGCATTTTCCCACAGTGCTCATTCCCTCTTATTCTGCAGCCACGTTTGTTTTTAATTTACATCCTCTTTTTAGGAAAACTATCACCATCATGAAGAGCAGATTGCGGAATGAAGCTACTGCATGCACATACCTGATGTATGCCTCATAGTAGCGTGTCCTGCTCCGGGTAGAGTGAGTGGTCGGCCACAGAGGATTATTTGGAACAAGAGAGCAAGAGACGAAGGGAATGAGGTAGCATGCAATGACAAAATACAAGAGCACACAAAATAAAACGCTAAAAAATGTTTTAGGTACTGAGAGGTGTTACTGGTTTCATTTAAAATGTTGCCCCTGGAATCTGGCAGAAATCTGCCCCAACCTTTGGGAACAGTGTCCGGGAATGATCAGGAGTAATTGTGGCATTGTTTTTGGAGAGGGAAATAGCTTTTTTCCAGTTTTTATGTTTTTAATTGTTTGATTTAAGGTGGCCAAGGCACTCTTGAGATATCATGTTCACAAAAATGAGATGGACAACCCGAAAACAAAATGCTTGGCCACTGGCTGTGGCTCTGGCTGGTGTGGAGGCATTAAAAAATAAAAAATGACACTGACCTTACTAAGTCAGCTAGAGGTAAAACAGGGGCAACGGAACATACTTTGTTCAACTATTAATCAGTTCAAGGCAGACACATTTGTAGAGTTTTATTTGTGTGGGGAAACTTAGTGGGAGATTCCTGTGAGAGACAGAGAGTCTGTCTGAAAAATGCACACTGGGAAATAAGGTGCTCTTTCATAGTCAGCAGCGTGGACAGACGAAACAGCAGTGGGAATAATATATTTGATAAAAGACGGAGTAGATCTGTGTGGGATGAACAAGGTTTGAAATGGAGTTGTGAAATCTGCTCATGCTGAACAGAAGGCTTGGGCAGTTTCAGGGTTTTTTTCACTGTTCAGAAGTAATTTTTCAACCAAAGCTGCCAGAACGTCACTGATTCCAGCTTCTATTATGTGACATGCCGCTGCTTTTCATTGTCTTCAATGAGGGTAGATTGAACAACATAGTGACTAAAGGTCAGACAGAGAACCGATCCACTGACCTCGTGGAGTGTGACCTCAAAGTCTTGTCATGCGCTCCTTTGCTGTGAGTGGATGCAGAGGATCCCTTTTTGGTGGAGGACGGACGGTCTCGTTTTAACAAACACTTCTGTTGCCTCCCACTGGTCATGGAGAGAAGCGAGGGCACGTTGGCATTGTTGAGGTTGGCATTGGAGGGTATTGGCGATTGATTGCGGGTGGAATTACAATGAGGGGAATTATGCGGATGAGGGGGATGATAGTGATGATTGTACTGGATGGGTGAGGAGTTCATCTCTGTCTCTCCCTCCCTGTCATTGCTTCCGGCTCTCCTGCCAGTCTGGGTGGGCTCTGTGGAGGAGCTGCAGGACAACGTCAGGATCTGGAGCGGCCGTTGAGTGACCGTGGTCGGGTGAGAGGAGCCTTGCTGATCGCCGCTGACGTGGTTGACGTGGTTTCCAAACAAACCGCCATTTCGCTGCACAAACCAATGAGGAGGGAGACAACACAGCAAATCAAACACAACAGAAGGAAACAGTTTAAATAGACCCTGACCTCGTGACAACTTGGACCAGTGCCACTAATACACTGTAACCAATACACTTCACATAATGCTTCAATAAGCAACACAATGATTCATTTAAAGGTCTTATTTCATTTACTAAGATTTAACTGCTGTTTCCATTGCTTTTTTATTCTTATTTCTTAACCATGCACACTTTCTGAGACCTTGTGAACATACAGCATCAGCCATTATACAGTACACTGAGATAGGAAACCTGGAATAACCCTTGATTTGAAACATATTTTTAAAAATGAAAAAAACATTTTGTCCATTTTCATGACAAGAAAAAGTTGTTATTCATTCTTTCTGTAGCTGAGCAGATCAAGACTTATAGGACACAAGTAATTCCAATAAGGCGATTTAATCAAAGAATAGTGTGTAAAGAAACAAAACACTTATTTGTCAAGAAACATAGTTTGAGGATTCATTTAAGGTTTTATCATAAGGTTTGATCAATAATTGAAATTCTCAAATTTGAATTTGTATGAGATATTTGCTTTGATTCACTATTTCTGATTTGCTATAATATACATACAAGTTTCACTCTTTTGTGTTTCAGAAACTGTTTTGGTATTGTCAGTTGGTTCCACTACAGAGAAACATCAACATTAGAGATAAATCTTAATTGTCTGAAGAGGGTCTTTGTGCATGTTTACCCTGTAGATATCTTCCTCTTCCTCTCCATTAGCATCTACAAGCCCTTCTTCCTGCAGGTCACATGATATGGCTCGACGGATCTCTGGTCCAATGTCATGCAGCGTGCGCAGGCCGGCCTGCAAAGAGAGCTGCTGTGATAACAAACCAACAAGCCGTGACAGGCTCTTTATCTATACTTACATCAGGCGAAGAGAAAACTGGGTGATTTTCTTGGAAATATTTTGTGCTGCTTTTACAGACGAGACAGGAAGAACAACTTCAAATGAGTGGCTACACCCAAATGAAAAATCAACAAATATCTTCTCATTCAGTTTGGTTGTAAAAGGGTTTCATAGGATCTAACAATATGTGTCTGTTAGAAACAGGACTAGTTCCAATGAAAACTTTACACACTGTAGTGTTTCCAGGTTTTTTGCAGAGATGTCATCATGCTCCTTAATATTTTTTGGGGGGTATTTTTTAATGCTGTGAGAACAATAAAACAACTTCTATTCACCTTCATTGTTCTGTGGTGGAGACAGACTGACATTCACTTAACACATCAACTTTGTGTGGTGTGGCTATTAAAATCTAAGTGATTAGCCAACAGACTGTATATACAAAAGGATGACATGTCCCCCCATTATCCAGGAATGAAGCCAAATTATCCTGGAAATGAACACTGTCATCTTGTCTATTTGGAGCCTGCCAAGTAATGATTGGAGACGAAGAGAAAGAATAACACATAAACAAACATCAGTATAATAAAAACTACAGAAAATGACAGAAGCCATCTTTGACAGAAATGTATATGCCTCTTTTGTATGGTTCATGTCCATATTCTATGACCACAGCAACCAGCCACCAGGTGGCGATCAAGACACTCTGCCCTGCTTTTAGAGAGCTTTCATGTCCTCTATGTTTAGATACAGTTGAGAGATACAGATTAAACCAATAGTTGATATAAAGGCTGATATAAAGGTTTCAACGACACATACATTCAATGTGATGACGGGACTTAAACATTCAGTCGCTGACATGTTCAGTGAAACACTGCACTTCACTCACTTGTAGAGCCATGGTGGTGTTCAGCCTCTCCCACGAGGGCCTTCCCACAAGACCTTGCTCTTTGCGCCTCTTGAATTTCCTGAAGTAGTCCTGTATCAGGAAGGTGGCATAGAACTTCCCCACTGTTACCTCGTCATCTGAGTGAACAGACCAGACACACCAAAGCCTCCCAGATCAACACCACAGTTCCGGAGCACCACAACACCTCAACACTGAAATGCTCTTTCAACAAAATCCCTCAATTGAGGCGTCACCCACTACAATCACACAGTCTAAGAAAACTAACAGAGAAGAGACTATATCTTGACAGTAAAACAAAATACTTCTTTAACAATCAAAATGAAATAAATGGCAAGACATGTTAACTCTGAGAATGCCAGAAATCCTCACTGTTGCAGCATCATCATACATGTCTAGTCCAGGAAACAACAGAGACCAGCACTCAAACCTCTTTCATAATTCCTCCTGAATACATTGAAAAAACTGTGTTTTATGACTAAACTTGAAATAACAGGATGTGTCACCCACTGCAATGACTCACGAGTCAGGTTATTAAAGTTATTATCGTGTTGACACTAATGACAGTTAAACTCCTTCCTAAAGGTGTTAGTATTGGCAATATTCAAATTTCAGACCTTCATGTGAGAACACGTCCATTCAACTGTTTCAAACATTTGCAAGAATCACACACATACACGCGCACACACACACACACACACACACACACACACACACACACACACACACACACACACACACATCTCTCTACAGTTGTGAGGACACTCATTGACATAATGCATTCCCTAGCCCCTTACCCTAACCTTAACTATCACAAATGTCCTGAACCTATAGATAGACATGTGCACACACACACACACACAGAGACAGACAGACATGTCTATACTACACTGAGCCATAAGAGAGCAGTCATATTCAATGTTAGTTCAACTAAATCTCAGCAGCTGCTAGCTCACACACCACTGCCACATTATATGTCAACTGCTACCACAGTTAATGTCAGAGACAGGGATGTGTGTGTTTGTATCCCAGACATACAACATGATCTGTAGAAGCAAATGCAAGAAGGCAGCAAAGTAAAGTAGTGTGGAGAAGCAGCAAGGGTCAAACCTTCAGCTCCTGTCACAGAGGAGAACACAGAAACTACATTAAGCCAGCGAGCAAGCTGTGACTACACACACACGCCATGCAGGGAGGCTGATCAAGCGTGGATCTGATTCACTCAGATAAAGTGGTTTCTAAGAACTGGGGAGAGGCTCTTGAAAAAAAGAGGCTGAATTACAGTGTGTATGAAATGTGTGGGGTTTTTTCTAGAGCACGGAGCTTAATCTGATCCATCTTCAAACACCGAACACATTTCTCTACAACACCTAACACAGCCAGACAGGAACTATGAAAGCCTCTGTTCAGAAAGAAAACCTGACACCCAAAGACAAATTTAATTGAATTTTTCTTCCATCTTGATCAGAACGCGGAGATGTTAAACAGCTCCACTAAGCAATACACAACATGTAAATGACATCTGATTAGACTGATACCCGATTTTCACCTGAATATATGGATTTTTTTTACATTTTCATAGATATGCTCAGTTTGGTAAATTTTGACTTTGAGTCAGTGGCCTTTTAGGATTGCATTTAACTGACTGACTTGATTAGATGGTAAGAAAGTATTTTAAGTTTCTAAATAATACATCAACCTGGTGTGGCCAGATCAACATATAGAAACTTCTTTTCCAAAAATTGGAAGACGCAGTTTCTGTTTCTGGAAAGAGGCAGATTCAGTTTTTATGAGAGGTATCAGTCGTTTCATGCCACCAGACTAAAACAGAACTGCTCCAAAGAGCTCAGGATGGCAGAAAGAGAAAAGAAGAAAGGCCAGCGACTGACACTGAAAGCAGAGGAAGCTGTGGAGAGCGAGGCTTGGCAGAAAAGTTTTTAAAAAGAGAGAGAAAGACAGAGGGGTTAGCAAACTAAGGCACACAGAGACATGCAGTCGCATTTAATTTCAAAAGTTCTAACAGCAGAGCTGAAGCAGAGCGGTTGTATGGGAGGATAGTGGAAAAACTCTATGTACAAAAGCAATGTTAATTTGAGGTTCGTGTGTGTGTCTTCAGGCTGTTCACTACCTCTATGCGTAGAAAGGAGATGTCTGATCTGATAAAGATATCTGGAACGTTTTGCACAACTGACGGCAAACCACATAATCACATTTCTAAATGTTATGTAATCATGAATTAGAAATATAATGGCAAAACAATCTGTTAAAAGAAGTGTTTTTTTATATATATGTGCACATATTAAATCAGTGTGCAAGCTTGTCCTGTAGATACATATAATGTACATGAGACAGGGGACTGACATGGTGCTAGTTGTGGCCACATGCAGCAGAGGTGTGTGAAAACAAAATGTTTTGATTCTTGTCTTATGCAAACTGTTCTTACTTTCTCTTTTATCTGCTGGTATGTGGCACTTACACAATATTCACTATAGGGTATTGTGGATCCTGTAGATTAAACTGACCCAGTTGCAGAACTAAAGGATTTAGAAATTAATTTATCCTTGCTGCCATCAGCCTTTTAAATATCTCACTC